CTCGTCTGACTTCAATATATTTATAAACCTTTTTAATAAATGATTGTCGTATTTAAAAAAAATATCCTTATCTTCCATAGCCTTTAAGTTTTTTGTGGGCATAAATGAAAACCATAACGCACATTTTCTCATAAAAAAACAAGTTATATTGGGGCATTTTCCATAATTTCAATGAAAAAATAGAAATATATCATCTAGCACTTAACGTGCACAGTAAAAGGTGCTGTCCATGACCAAATTTAAAAACGAACGTTTTTGCGAAGTGCAAAAAAAGGATACAAATTGTCCGAGTGTCCGAGAAAAAGGATACAAATACTCCAAAGAGCCAAAAATTGAAAACCCAAAAAAATCTGATGACTCATTTGAAAGGGTCCAGACCCAAGCAGCTATCGCCTTTGAGGAACTAGAAGCTAAGTAAAATGAAATGTGTATATTCCTGGAGCTAAAAATGCCCCAAACCAGAAGTATAAAAATGACAAAAAAGTTCGAAATTTTGTATTATTTTAAGGGCACTATGAAAAAGGTGCCTAGGGGCATTTGCGGAATACTAATTTATTCGAGATTATACAGAAGTCAGCTCAAACCTGTAATATTTATACAAATATTCATAAAATGTATGCAAGTGATCGTTATAACTTGTAATAATTCTGCTAATGTTCCAGGGTATCATAAATTTAAAAATCGTTTAAATATGTAAAGGAGTAAAATTTTATAAATGTCGAACATGATCTTTGGCGCAAATCTAATTAATAAATGATAAATTTTGTTAATTGGAAACGTAACCTACATTAGTAACTTTCGAGACACAGATTTGAATAATTTTTGGTATTTCAAATGTGGTCTCTAAATTTAAAAAAATTCTGTCCAAATTTTAATAATAATAGTTTTAATTTAAACAACTTTTGTAGGTGCATTATTTTGTTATAGCAAATAGATATGAATTGTGTGCCTATTTTAATAATTTATTTGAAGTCAAATCAATGGCAAACTTATATGATTCTTTTGTTATAGGAAATGCGAATGAAAGCCTAGCTTTTTGTCTACTTAGGAATTTCTCCAACATTACAGTGGACTAAACACAAACAAATGTAAGTGTTTTTTTTAGTTTAATTCATCTATATAGCTAAAAACAACAAAAGTTGGAAATAATGTTAACGCAATATTCTCTAACAGGTTTAATTACCTTTCTGTGCACCTTATAACGTGAGCAACAAATTGACTGCTCTTTCATTTCTGGAACGCATGAAATACGTATGCCAGCAAAAGAAAACTTGACTAAAATCACTAGCGTAAAGGATTGCTATTTTACGCGCCTCATGACCGAAAGATCACTGAAAAAATAATAAATACCCGAATACAAGCCGAGGTTATATATAGGGCCTCTGCCGAATTAATAAAGAAAAAGGGAGAAATGCAGGTAGGTTGAGCTATGTTGAGTATTTAGTGAAACAAATACTAATTAGGGTCTTGGATCAAATACAGTAGTATTTTTATTGCTTGTCCGATGACGGAAGTAATGAAAGAAAATGAAATTTTTCGACAGGTGCATTAGAGATCCGTTCATTAATAGTAATTAAAATTTCAGCACAAAACAAATGTCAAATCATCAAGGCAAATCAAATAATTACAAGCAAATAGAATGATTTCGGAAAAAAAATCAAATACAATGAACGCTGTAGGATAAAGCATGGAATCTAGCAGCACATCCTTTGTTCCCATTTTCGTAATATACGTGTAACAAAATTTTGAAAAAACTGCTCTTTGCTCCATAATGATGGAATATAATACATCGAATATCCACAGGAACGTCCTAAAAAAGTTCCTAAAAGATTTAAAACCATTTCTATTAAGGCGAATATCAAATCGCAAACAACTAAATTATCCATCACTTAGAATGCTACCCCATCTGGCAAAGCTAAACCGATGTTTATATTGTGTTCTTGAGTAATCTGGGGAGTAGCATGGACGATTATTGTGAAAATTGCTAACTCTATATCGAGTAATCTGAACTTCGGCTGTAAATAAAATGCATATTTTCTGAAACCATTCACAAAATTGCAATATGAACGAAAACTTCTGCAACCGTTTCCGCAAGGTTCTCCAAATATTGTTTTCTAGATTTCGAAATAGAATTGCGATTCGCCTTGTATTTGTCTTCTATTTTAGAAATTGTATGACTAACAATTCGGTTGATCGCTGTAGTGTCATCCTTACTTTGTTTTGTTTTCCCTCAAAATTGCATGTATATCAAGATGCAAGAATTGAAATAGTGATTTTTTACTTAATTATGTGGCTTAACTAACTGCTGAAAGCAGCAGTGCCGCAGTTTTGTGTATCTACACTTATTGTCGTCAAGTCAAAAAATTGATATTAACAACAATATGTAGACTGTCTAAGGTACCGAACAACAGTGGCTTGTCGACGTTTGCTATTAGAAAAAGTTGTTAATTCGCAACTCATCTACATGATCATGCATTAATTATCAGGCATGCGAGACTTGATTAAACGTGAAAGTGTTTCAGGGAGTGGCTTGTTAATTAAAAAAACACGGCTATAAAGATTACATTATTTCATTATCAGAATTCGAACACACCCGGTAGTACAAAATATTTTGAAAAACAAAGAATCAGAAACGACAGCTTTTCTTGAAAACTATAGAGCAAAGTCGAGTTGTACAATATAAAAAAAATGTTTTAAAAAATCACTTTGCAAGACTAATTTGAACACTCCCGCAATAAGAGAAATGTTAGGCGTAGAGGCTCGATTCCCAGGTTCTCTAGGATAAACAACAATAAAACCAATATTAAAACGAGCAGGAAGTGATCCCTAAATGCCATCTGAAACTTCGTTGTTTTAAGGCCTACGTAAAATAATACAATCCCAAATTTTTCGTCCTTTATGCAATATAAAGATATACAGATAAGACAAACATGTGCAAAGGGAAGGCTGGAGAGATAATAAAATATAGAGAATTCGCCGCTTTCGAACCGTGAAATTATACTGCGGGTTTCATAAAACATGTAACTGATAAATTGTTCAAAAATATACACATCAACAGTTCAAATTGCGCGCGTTTATTTACTAGCGGAATAAAGTATTTAACAGTATTAACACGACTAGATTTTGTAAGAAGTTGGATAAATGAAGCGTGGAATCTTCAGATGGATTGCCATGCTTGCGGTTAGTGCTTGTTTCTAGTAAACGGAAAACGGCCTGAATCATAACTTATAAGCACTACTTTCAGGTTAATCTCAAGAGTCAGTTATTCAGTTGAGTTCATTTTCCCTTTTTTGGACATGAAACACTCAAATACGTTCAACTAATTTTAAAATTTTACTGTTTTTTTTGTTTGTTTTGTTTTTAAAATTAAAAAAATACTGTAACGTTGATTAGCGCAGCCGTTCCTGTAGCTTCAATCGCTTGTGCTCTTACTTCCGGTTCTATGCCGCCATAGCTTGAAAAGCTTGGCTGAGTTTTATTAATTTGACAAAAATTTGCGTTCCACTTTCCTCCCTACGGTTTCACAGAGGCCCAATTGTTTCCAATAAAATTTTTCAATAACTGCTCCAGCTGGATAATAAATTTCTGTCACCACAGGATGGATTATAGCAAAACTAAGCCGTTCACTTAACAAAGCTTTCACTTAAAATTCTGCACTTACCTCTCCACACAAAGCCGGTAAGAACAATAGGCCGCCCATCCGCTCCCCAAAGGTGTCCTGTAGAGGATCAAGCATCGTAATATATCCCTGCTGTCGCATTTTGTTGGCGAAAAATATTCCCCCGAAAACTAGACTTAGGGAGTATCCAAACGGTGCTTGGCACCATACCAAGCCTGATGTGTAAACAGCCTCGGCTGTTCCATTTATGTAGCCACCTCCAACCCATGTTGCTGAAAAAGAGTTTTGTATGATTTACCATTATTATTCAATTCAAACTGCTTCAAATGCTGATTATAATGGGATTTTATATGGGCTCCGAAATATAAAAGAAGAATTTATGTGCTTGCTACCGGGCCAGGAATAATTAACGATATTTTCTGTTAAAGCTGGATAATTTTGGGTTGAAAAACAGTCACCTAGAACTTGATTTTTCGAAAAGTCGAAACTCTTAACCAAATAGATCTCAAGGTATACGTTCTCGAATAAGACTCGATAATTAATTGTATTGAACGGCACATAATAAATCACAGTCAAGAATGAAAATTATGTAACTATTTCGGCAACTGTAGACGTTAATTTATCATCAGCTAGAAAATCTATATTTGTCGCCTAGAAAATTAAATCAATTCATATCTTGAAACTTAGTTTTGCTTCCCTTTTAATATTAATTTAAATCTGTTCTCACTTTTAGAAGCACGACTGCCTTTATTTATTACCTACAATACCATACCCAAATAAACAATTTTCAAAAAATTGAAGACGAGAATCTATAACTATAGTATAACTAAGTTGCGAACTCTGTATATACCTAATATTCATTCAAGCAAAAGTAGGATATTGTCACCTTCCATAGCCAATAAGACCGTGTTAGTTACATATTTAATAATTTACTGTTCTAATCATGTTATATTCTCTAAAGGAAAATACAGTACAATAATTTAGAAGATTGCGCAAAAACTGAAGCATTATTTACTAACAGTTACTAATGTTCAATCGTGTCTACTTAACAGTGCGCAAAAAAATTAATCATTTCTTTACAAGTTGTTTTTAATATAACAAAGTGGTTATCATACACTCTCCGATTATGAGCGAATTTCAAAAATATTATCGGCTCTTCATGATTTAAAAGTAATCATAGCAAGTTTTAAAATTTTAGCTCATCATTTACTTTCATGTTTCAGATCTGATTGCCGGAAAAACACTGTAATAATTTAAATCTCAACAAATGGTTCTTTAATATCAAGTTGAAATTTGATATTGGCTCTTGCGGTTGTGTACAAAGTCGACAATATGGCATAAAGGTTGAGCACTTTTTATAATTTAAACTAGGAAATATGGAAAATACGGCGAACCAAATTGATTGAAAAGAATAATATTTTTTTTGCTTATTGGAAAGCCAGATTGTTTTGATTTGTATACACACTTTTCAAATTTTTCACTACGCTACGACTTCAAAGAAAGTTTTTATTGAAAACTGACTATCATACATAACAAGATTATGCGAAAAAAAATGCAGAATTGTATAATTTTGTTTACTCCTTGCAACCTTCTATAGTAATAAGTTAATAAGAAGAAAAATTATTTTTTATTTTCAATTAAAAAGTCTTATAGAATGTGGGCTCAAAATATTCAAACACAGTGCGGTTAAATTGAGTGCATACGTTATGGGTCGCGACGAGCTCAAAATCTTCTGTTATTGGATAGTTAATTTTTATGCGTTTTTTAAATGTTCTCAGTGTAATATTTTATCATTGTCTACTAACGAAAAATGTTTCTCACAATCCTTGTTCCTTGCATATGTATTGAAGACGGAATCGAATTTTTGAACATATTTGACAAGAATTTACTTTTTAGTTGTTTAGTTAGTTTTGATGGGCCATTTACTTTAGAAGAGTATTAGTCTTCAACTTCCAACGAAATTCATATGAACTTATCATTTTTAATGTTGATATCCAATTTTTTCAAGGATGACATAAAATACTGAATATTTTCACCTATGGAAGTCGAATTCTATACCGGAAGAAACTAAATTGCTTGCTGTTTTGCGCTATTTCAATAAGCGTTAAGCAAAAATGGACTATGGAAGGATCGTGCCGAAATGACTTGTCTACTTACAATAATCACGGACCAAATTTAGTAGAAGAATCGGTTATTACTTAAACACGGTCATATTTTTTGGAACTTTTTTGATCAATCCATAATATTATATAGCCATATGGGGGGACGAAATTTTTGCGTACGGAAAAATATTTAGTAATTTCCAGAGCTTTTAGTACTAAATAGATGCACAAGTGTCTATCAGTTTCATTATCAGCCCTGTCCAATTCTGGCTAAAACTATCTAAAGGGGTTGAAGCAATCACCATTCAATTTTCCAGGAACTTTCAGAACTCAATACTGATATTAGGTCACAATAAAACATGCCTTAGCTAACAAACGCACATGATTTTCATGTTGATTGAACATTTGCATGTCTCGAGTCATATTGTGTAGGTGTAGTTTTACCTAAAGGGGAACTTTTTGAAAAAACTTCAAATTCAATTAATACATTTTAAATGTTCTCTTCGTACTAAACGGTTCCTTCACTTCTTTTAATTCTGTCATTTTCTAAGTGTAATGTTAAGGTTCAATAGGTACTTGCGATGAAATCTACATTTAAATTGTCCGCTAAAATACCTTTAGCTTCTTCATCAATGTATTTCCTACCTGTCATGGTGAAAATGCCCACAAACAATCCAATGTTGCGACCTGCAAGCATAACTTCTTCTTCCGAGTCATTTCCAGCTTCTTTTTTTCTGCCTGCCCAAACACCCACTGCTAAAATTATCACGTAGAAGAGAACGATTGAAACAACTCCTGCTATGTTGATCATTTTGGTACGATTTTCTGTGTTTCTTCGTGTATCTGGAACAAGCAAATTCTAAACTGAATAAAACATATTTGCTGGAATAAATCGACGCTGTAAAATTTCCATCTGAACTGCTACATGTTCCGAGGCTGTTACTGAATATTTAAATTTCTTGGTGTTTAAACTAATTGGCTCTTTTCGGACTTTAAGGCAGGCATATTGATAGAAAATGATCAGATTCAGGTCTATATATTTACTGACATTTAATAAATAAACATTTTCTTCAATTTCTGTATATTTTCTTTGATTACTTTATTTTTAGTGACATAAAATTACATTTTATTGAAAACACAGCACTAGATTTCGAAAGAAAAATTCCAATAAATTAGTCAATGTACAATGCTCTCCTCTCTGCCTCGTTCTGGTCGTCCGCTCTAAAATAGTTCCAAGACACTCTATAAAGAACGTAGAAATATTCCACATTAAGACGTATAAATTAGTAATGCTTATTTATACAGCGTTGCATGACTGGTTCGGCAATCAATCATTCGCAAGTCACTGTAATATTTTTAGCTCCCAAAATCCGCAAAAGACGAATAAAGGTAGCAAAATAACTTTAGAGTTACAGTTTACATATTATTTGTATTGAAATTATTTTAATGTGTCTTCAATAATTCCGAATATGCATACTGTCTTTCTTGTGACGAAATTTCAATAATTAATCAAAATAACATTGCTTTTACTTGATTTTCGGTTTACCAATTTTGAATTCTCCATTGAAGTCTTAAACTCAACAGATATAGTTATGATTACAAATTTCTGTAGACCTAAAAACAAGATAATTCAACAGTTTAACAAACAAATTGAAGTTTCAAAATGTGTGCGATTTAAGGCTGCAAACAACCAAAACTGTTGAGATTAGGTATAGCCGTGAATAATACTTAGAATTCAATGGAGAATTCAAAATTTAAATAAAAATTAGGTGCTTTTATTTGAAAAATGTAGTTGATGGTAGGAATTTACTTTTGGGCCACCATATAACCGTGTATAAATAACTCAAAACCAGATTCATTTAAAAATAGAAATTGACTGGCCTGAGCTTTTTTCAAAAAAACAGGCCGCTTAATTTAAAAAAAATATATACTATTATATTTTGATTTATTTTCCTGGCTGCGTGTAATTGTCATTATATTATTTTCTTTCCTGGGCTCCAGTCAAAGTGTGAAACAAAAATTTGTATATCGTTTATTTCGTTACGATTCGGCGAGACAGCAGCGCCATCATCAGATTTTAAAATTCATACAAACTCATAATTGGTGATCATTACATTCATTTAGGTCTTTGCTGTCTTGAAAATACAAAAAAATATTTTCATAAAAATGTAAAGTTTTTAAATCCAAAATATCTCGTAGTATAGAAACATAAAGTTCTTTTATGCTTATACACTGTATAATACTTGCGTTGGAAAATTACATGTTTTGGTGGTTTTTGTTTTTGGTTCAATGGGTAGAATATCGATAAACTGCACAACTAATGTCACTGTTTTAAATCCAAAGTCGAAGAAATCAAATTAAGAGGTAAGTTTTTTTTATATAAATTGTTAGGAAACATAAAACTCTTCTACCGTTACAGAAACGACATAATACAGTTCTGATCCAACACTAGGTTTTCGCGACATTTTGGTTTTGATTCAATTCGTAAAATATAGATGAAATGCACAAAAGGTGTTAACATTTTGCAATACAAAGTATAGTCGAAGAAATCAAAATAGGAGATCAGTTTTCTTCTATGTCTTGTAGAGACATGTGTGCAATGACACACTATATTTTGGTGAAATTTTTCGTCTTTGGTTTATTAACCAATATCACATTTTGTTTGATTTTTGCAATCCAGTGCAGAACAAATCTAATTATGTTCCACACTGTAGGTGAACGAAAACCTTGTTCCTCAGATTAACTTCTACACTACCTCAAAGAAATATTATTTTGAGTCCAAACTGCACCTTTCAAGGTACCTTGATTGAATTGGACCTCGAGCATTCGTCCGAAATATCGATAAAAAATTAGCCTTGAAGACAATCAAAATGGCGTAACTAAGTCACGCTACCTCAATTTCCAATACATCGTGTTATCGATGTGAACCATCTTTCATTGGTTTCCATGCACAGCAAAGTGTCCACAACTAAAGAAAGTCTTACCAAAAATATATATGCGATTAGCGATAACGGAACCTCCCTAGAAGATCACCTACGTGAGGAGATCCAGAAGTTGGTCAGCAGGACAGCAGTCACCCCACCTAAGGGAGGTTTTCTGCGAGGGACTATTCCTTGTTCTAAATCTTAACGACAACATCTGCCTTAGAGCGTGACATCCACATCGAACATACACCAGTCGCTAAAAGTCCAGTACAGTATTAATGCTTCGCGACGGTTATACAAGAACTAAGCTTTCGGGACTCTGGATATCGATCCAGAGCCCGTGACGTCACAGGTGACACGTGGCTCATTGGCTGGGCGGGAATTTGGGGGCGGTCCAGAGTTGCACCCACGTATTCCCAAGGTCGCATTGAAGGATGGGTTGATTGGGGGAGGCATGGGCCGACTTTTGTTATGCGTTAATAAACGAAATTCATCGTAGTCATAATTAATGGCTGTTCAAGAATTCATCACTTTTTCCCTAGTTGTGTAGGTAGAACAAATGCAGCTGAAAGCGAAAATGTATTTAAATCTGCTGGAATGCCACAAATTAAATTTTCAGGTGGAAATTTTAAATTAGTTGAAATGAATGTAAATGGGAAGCCTGGGGAAACAGAAGCAACGAATGAAGAAGTTTTGATCAATTGCTTCAAACTTGTTTACGTTCTCAGCTCAAAAACATGGCATTCCATGATTTAAAATCCTACAGAGGTTTCTTATAAATTAATTTTTAATACCTGGTTGATTATTTAATTACCTAATTCGATGTCCATGAAATGGGCAAAAATTGTGCAGATTACATTTTGATTCTTACAAAAATTTTTAAACGTTTGATGGATGATGATATTAGTTAAACAATTGCATCGTTTAATGGTGGAATGCAGATCGAAGCATCAAGTAAATATCTAGAAGCGGTTGTTTCAAGGCTTTTATATTTTTGTCTAAATCGCCTCTGGATCTTTCCTTATAAATGAGTGTTGCAAATAGCGCTCTTTTTGTAACAGAATTGCGGCAATCAGAATATTTGAACGGCATCATTGCGTACAATTCAGTTCCATAGTTCAGAATTAACATGATTTTGATGAATAGTGTTGCAGATCACCATCAAATGTATAGTCCAAATTAATATTTAATTTTTATCCAACAGCAATGTGTAAAAATTCCTTTTGTAACGTGTGTGTATATAAATTTTGAAAATTGCGTTTGATGAATACAAAATAAGAGAAACATCCGTTAATTTTCCATTTCAAATTTACATGTACAGTTTTCCGTACATTTTGATTAAATTGTCAAAAATTTTAGATCAAAGACGTGTGAAGAAACTTTTGTTAGTAATTCTGATCAATACATTATTTAAAAACGCAGCGCTCTAAATTAGCCTATAATCAAAGTGAAAACGTTCATACATTGAGTTTCAGAGGATTGCTCCTGGAATCACGTATGTTCTTTTACTACTCCCAGAAGAAGTTACTCTCTGGGACTCACTTTTTAGGCAATAATATTTAGATATTGATTTAGATTCGTTTAAGATTCAGCAGGCGGTGTTTTTTGGATAAATGTCCGAAAATGGGTCTGTTTTTCCTGGTGAATGCATTTTGTTACGCTTAATTTATTTATAGAGGATAGTCCCAGAAGACATTCAACTTATTTTTTTCATATAAGGACCTCAGGTTTGAATTTTCCATTGTATTCGAATTAACGAGAAATTGGACCTACCAATAATTCATAAATACGATTTTGTTTAAAATTCTATAGTCCTGAAAAGGACGGAATTTTTTCGAAAAACAGAGCAACAATCAAATTATATATTCAAAATGTTTGCAATCTACCGCTTGACAATATTCGAGGTGCTCAATAAACTCTTCTTGCACCTTGTTATTTTGGTAAATATATTGTTTTGCCTTATACCTTGCATTCATTTTTTTTTATTTTGGGACTTGGTAGCAAGTTCGCATATGTTTTGTAATAAAGGCATAAGGTGTTTAAAAACTTCTTACTAAAACTACAATTTACAATTTATTATATGCTCGTATCTCTAAGACAGATCAAAAAGGTCCATTGTTCAGTACTGCGGAAACAAACATACTACAATATCAACCGAGGAAATTCCATTCCACTGGAAAATTCAGCTTGTTTGGGTTTTTATCAAATCCCCTACAAATGAAGCTCAAGCTACAAATGAAAGGAGGTCGACAACAGAAAGTGTAATTTCAACGTAAACTGTTATTGCTCTTTGTATGTGTTCAGACTTTCAAAATAATTTGCCGATGTGCAAGATATCAAAGGAGGTAGCGACAAGAAATTATCGGGAGCAAAAATAGACAATAATAGCAAATAACGGAACCTTTACCAAAGTTTACTTACTAATGTGTGTGTCTTGACTAAAATCGAATTTGCATCAGGAGAGCAGAATACTGAAGGAGGTAACAACAAGGAAAAATCAGGGAAATAAATCGACATTAATAATAGCAAATAACGTAACGCTAGAACTATTTTGTGTCTGGGCGAAAATTTAACTTGGACCAGGAGAGCAGAATACTGATGAAGGTAGCTACAAGG